AGACTGTAACTTCTTTCTTCTATGTCAGAAGGTACAGTAAGCTCTTACATAACTGCACATTGTTTTCTTCAATTCTTTACAGCCCCACTTTGAGGTGGATTAAATCTACACTGTATTGGTGTTTTCATTTGGTTATTTACTGGATTTCCTGTTACAAAAACCTCGCAATTTTTCCAACCACGAACCAAAATTAAGTGGTATACAATCTATGGTGTACTATTGTTTTCATCTGACACATACTGAAGACACTTCCCCATAACTTTTTAATGTTATTTGTTTTTCACTTTATAGCCTAAGTTTAAACTGTAAATAATGTGTTTGACATTGTTCTTCTTTACAGTCACCAGCTATAAACTCTGGGGGAAAGTTCTGGTTCTTTGTCCACCTCTAGACTTTAGTCTTATTTCAGAACCTGAGTGCCATCCTGTTTTACAGATCTGGCTTATTTGTATGCAGACTGTGGGTTACTTGCCTCTCAGACAGGTTACTTGCGACTCAGGCAGATGCACTCCAACTTTAAAGAAAGGCCCCCCCCCCCAAATTAGATGATTCATTCGACATGCTTTCTGGGGAGACTGTGGGTCTATTTCTGCATTCCCCGCAATGGGACCCCAAAACCCACATGGGGGAGCTTACTGCTGTCCATACTGAATATTATATTACATAACTTCCTATTATTTTTGTTTCTTCACAGCCCCACTCTAAGCTGAGGTGAATCTTCAGTTTTTTTCTTCTTTTTCTGCCGTTCCTCTTTTATCTCTGCGGGTGTAAGAAAGATACAAGGTTCTGCTTCTGCTGTTGTAAGTGCTTAGACCATAAACACATTGCGCTGTTAAAAGGTTTCTCTGATATCTGTCATATATCTGTCAATCTTGTTCTTGGTCTACCCTGCGCTGGATATCCTTCTCCACTTCTGGCGTATGCCTTACATGGTATGGCTTCAGAAGACATTCTCTCCAAGTGGGCACATGATTTGATCTGCTGTGTTTGTAAGTAATTTAGAACTAGTTCTGTGCTGACTTTTCTCTTATGACCTCAATCCTGATTTTATCTTTTCTGGTCACTCCTCAGCCCCTTCTCAGACATCTCACTTCCATAGTTACTGATTGTCTTTTCTACTTCGTTGTGAGTGACCATGTCTGGCACTGGTAGCATAAAGTGGGAATGGTTAGCTTTGTATGAGATGATTCTCTGTGCTGACTGAGATTGTTTTTACACTGTAATGGAAGGTGAGGGAGGTTGTGTGTGTGTGTGTGTGGGGGGGGGGGGGGAGGGGGAGGGAGTAGCTGTCTAAATATCTGGTTTGCTTTAATGAATCTGATTTTAATTTCTCCATTCAATGTCCCATCTTCTGTGAATGGAGATAAAGGCAGATGCCTGTTTAATGTGCCTTAGCAATGTGCTGCTATACATAGGTTTCAGTTTAGTGATGTTTAAATCTGGTGTATCGAAAACTCTGTTACATGACCTCGCTTGTGTCTTACTGAAGATGGACTGTTGGAGTCTGCAACCAACATTAAGAAGAAAACTGCAAACTTGGCACTGTAAAATCAAGGTCAAAACTGGTATCACCAAGTTCACATTCATAAAGATAGAATGGGGCATATAAAGAGAGTGGTAAATAAAAGAGACAAAAACTTTATATCCAAAAGACCAGAAAATCACAGTACCAACTTCACAACAAATGGGTCACCCCATAGTTGATCCATTCTTGTGCCAATTAAAACCACACAGAATGTCCATATCTGTCCCTTGTGAAGAAAATTGACACAGACTGCAGTCTTAGAAAAGCTAATAACATACACGTGCATTCAATGCATATGGCAGCTATCAGAAGTGCCTACATAAACGGTCCGACACTAGAAATGCAGTTCATTGTCAATGGAAACAGTAATTATAAAAAATCAGCAGCTGCACACTCAAATAATCGCATAAGGCACCAACAGTTTTATCTGGCAACAAGCCACTCAACATTTCCTGAATCTGCAGTTCACAATACAAACTATGTTGGACAGTCGAAAAGCACCCCAAAGGAAATCAGCAAAAAGCTCAATGTCATACCATGCACTCAGTAGACTGAACTATATCCTTTCAGTTTACATGTAGAAGAAAATGCAAAGCCCAACAGCTGTCCCAAGCAAAACCTTGCCATGACTAAAACCAGTAAGCCCGCCTATCCACCACACTGTACTAGTAGTCCTCATACACACAACAGCTGAATGGGAGTAGACCATGAGGCACACCAAGAAGACGGTAGAGAGACAATATACAGGTAGGTCTTAGTCCAGGTTTGAACTTCACTGCAATCAGGTTTCCCCATACTTGCTCCGTTCATATGCCAATGCAAATAAAATAAAATGTCCCTCACTGTCTCATTAAAAAAAAAAACTGGTGAATAAAGTCCCCGCACAATCCAGAAATATGCGCAAACAGTAAATGCATATGGCAGTTGCTAGAGATGCCGAAAACAACAGTCACCAATAGAAACGCAGTTTGTCACTGATGGAAGTAGTTGGGCACGATAAGTTGGCTATACACACACATAATTATTACATATATAGGTAGTTCATCAGCTCACACATAAACTGGCTACCGACCATACTGAATATCATGACACAACCGCTGCACAAATGAAAGGCATTTCACAGGAAAAACAAAGCTCACAGGGCTACACCTAGCACTTAACTCAGTAGCTCTGGCAGCGAAACCGTAGACTACGGTCCATATGTGAAAACTGCATTAGCAAAGCACGGTTGGAAGTATAAATAACTTTAAAGCTGAACATTCTGTCATGCCTAATCCTCCATCTTAGACCAGAAGTTCAAGCCGATCTACAAACACCAACAGTGATTACAGAAAAGAAAAAGCCAACGAGGAGATGAATTACAGTTGGTGATATCTGCAGCAATGAACTCAAGGGCTCAGAATGCTGAAGTAGTTCAAATTCAGGATATCAAGACTAACTAACTGTAAAGCAAATATGTTATCTGTCAAAGTGTAGAATCCAGGTACTATCTTGGATGACAGACCCAGACCTCTGAGAGAATGTGTTCTTTGTAACTGCAGCAAATAAGGAAGCCAAGAATAAAGTCTGCATTTTGCAAAAATAAACGTTAAATAATTTAATGAGAAACAGAAGATCAAATTGTTTAGTCATCAAGTAAGAATGCAGCCACAAAATTATAAACACGGGCATTACTTATGAAAAGATCGACGTGAAAGCACAAGGTCGCCTTAGGATGACGGACTGATGATATTAAAGAGCTTCTTCATTAACACAGAATACTCAATAAACACTCATATAAATTAGGTATGAGCCAAACAGCTCTCTGCCAGTGCCTTCGTGCTGAACAGACTCCAGAACATGTCCTGCAAGACTGTCCTCTCCTGGCAGAGCTGCGGAGCAACATATGGCAACACCCAGTAGAACTGACAACTAAGCTTTGGGGAAACCTAAGAGACCTTGAAAATACATCCCAGTTTATCACCCACAGTGGATTATGCACATGACCAGAGATCGCTGAAGAAGAAGATTAACACAGAGTGAAAATAATTATTACTGCATGTCAAGCAATGGATCGCAAACTGTTACTTCCCATGCCGCTTAATGGCAGAAGTGGAAACAGATGATGATGATTCATTAAGTGGTTTCACCATGATTATTTCAGAAGAAAGAGTATGACAATGATGATTAGGAAGGTGAAGAAAAGAAGAGAAATCACAGGGGGGGGGGGGGGGGGTGTGAAAAGAGAGCAGAAGAAAGATAGACAACAACAAAAAAGAACCAAAAAAAAAGAATTCTTAGCTCAAACTATAGAATTCTAAGCCTAAAGTACACTTGTAAACTGAACAACACAAACCCTGATCTTCATAGCGTGAGGCCAACAGCCTAACCACTTAGCCACAGAGAAACTATATGTTACATTAAAGCATACTTTAATACTAGAGGTTGGAAGATGGTCTAGGAGGGAAGCTCTGACAAATAAAGCAGTTTTCTGATCCAGCAGTTTCTGCAGGATGCTTTGGTCCAAATATATTGGTTTTACCTTTTCTCTGGAGTAAACAAACCGGAGTCATAAAGAGACAGCATATCAAGTGGTTTGGCCATCTCGTTAGAATGCAGCAAGATCAAGCACCATCACAAGCACTACATCTCAGAAGATCAGCTACAAGAGCAAGAGGACGGCCGAGGAAAACATGGATCGACAACATTAAAGATACCTTACGCCTTCACGGTATGATAATAGCCAGTGCCAGCCAGCATGCACTAGATCGCAAATTATTCCTCCCAACGATGCTTAACGGCATTAGTGGTTTATGATGATAATGATGAAACAATCCAGGCAAAGATAGATTTGATACTGTATGGGCAAAGTAGGGTCTCTACAATACTACCCAGGGACTGTGCTATGAAAAGGAGCAGCGTCATCCCTGGTAACACCATGGACTGTAATTCCCATGCCCCCCATGTCAGACTATCGCCTCCCAAAAATTATATTTTATAGGCAGCTACAGCAAGTTAAGAGGTCCCAGGGAGGACAGGAAAAATGCTATAAAGACACTCTCAAAACTGCTCTCAATTCTTTTGGCATCAACACAGCGATGTGGGAGGCTGCTCCACAGGACCGTTCTGAATGGAGTACATCCCTCAGGCATGGTGCATCAGCCTGCCAGGCAGCGGAGGTTGCAAAGGCAGAGAAGCGGAGGCAGACTAGACAGAACCATATCACTAATCCCACACTGACTGTGGCTTCTATCTGTTCAAGAACTTTCCAGGCTCATATAAGACTAATCAGCCACCTTCCTACTCATAATCATTGATCATTACTATGTTGGATAAAAAGTGGTCTTAATTACTCGTGATGGACAAACAATAACATAGCACAATGGAACACTATCCTCTGTAAAGATGGAAAGGTCTCAACAACAAGAATACAAGATCACCAAGAAGAGTCATGTAGGAACAGATGCTCTTAAACATTAAAGCATGCAGTACTTACTGTAACTCTGCTGAATGTACTATCCCCCTGGAAGACTTGAATAGTTTCGGGTTCTGCAAGTGGCCTGGCCTGGTTAGCTCGAGCACGGCGCGCTTCTTCACGCCTCCGCTCATTTCGCTCATCGGGCCTGTGGAATAGATAATCAGTATTAGATCAAATTAGGTCAAAGGGCATTAAATTTGCACCAAGCTGTAAACCACAACTTAAATTGCCAACTGTGTTAATACTCTATAAAACTATATATCAACAGGTTCCACACAAGTTCTCATTTACCTGCTGGGTGTTCATGATTCAAGTCCATAAGATAAGATAGAAAAGGCAATATATAACTGATTTTTAAAAAAGTTTAAAGACTTTCTAAAATTTCATTTTTTTTTTTAAACAGTAGTGTTATTCTTGGTCAGTTTTTATTAAAAATCCAGAAGGTTGGAACCTATGACCACCGAGCAGACAGGCAAGCCTGCCAGTTATTGCATCATCCAGGTCTGACATCACTATAAAAATGGATTTTTCATATTTAGAATCATTATCTTGCGCAAATGTATTTTTTTTTTTGTTAAGGGAAGTAATTTGTACATACAAATAAAGCAAAAAAATAACTGCCTTTCTTCCCTTTGACCAATAAAACGGGGATTTTGTTGACAAAGCTACAGAGCCGTTATTGCATCATCCAGGTCTGACATCACTAAAAAAATGGATTTTTCATATTTAGAATCATTATCTTGCGCAAATGTATTTTTTTTTTGTTAAGGGAAGTAATTTGTACATACAAATAAAGCAAAAAAACAACTGCCTTTCTTCCCTTTGACCAATAAAACGGGGATTTTGTTGACAAAGCTACAGAGAGCAAAGTGGCATCATCATAAGGTTATGTCACAGTGAAAAAAAAAACATTTTTTGTCACCCAAAAAAATACAACATGCAGCAAAGGGGTAGTGTTTCATATACACAACATGAAGGGATGTGAGGGGTTCGGTTTTAAACACACAACATTAGCGAAGGGGGTAGTGTTCTACATACACAATAAATGTGAACATGAATACCTCTAAATATAATGACACCCAACATGTCTAAACATTATGCAGTTGTAACCAGTACCAAAGTTGTTATATAGGCATTCTGGCTACTGCCCAAAGATGCTAAGCCATAAAATATCCATAAAAGTCAGAAAGCTGACTTTTTCAGGGTGACAGGGCTATAAACCAAATGTTGTGAACAATAATAATAGCTACAACACATAAGTCAACAGTCACAACATGTTTTAAGTCCAGAGGATGCCCCTCACTGCACTACGTTTTATCCTATGTGGCTTGACCTCTCTCCGCGGAATAGCCAGCAGCCTAACCAGGAGCAAAGCACAAAGCACGAAACCCTCAGCCCAAGTGATGATATCCTGGGATACCCATAAAACGTACACTTGTGAACCAAACAATGCAATCCGTGAAACAAACAAATTTTAAGGCCAACAGCTTAAACTTTCAAGAGATGACGTAAATAAGGGTGATGCAGTCACGCTGATATTAAACAGTCCTACTGTGGAGTGCCAGGAAATGAGAGAGCTGATCAACTGGCAGGTGAAGGTGTGTTAATAGTGCGAGCTGATCAACTGGCAGGTGAAGGTGTGTTAATTGTGCAGCCAGATGTGTCAGTCGCATCAGAAAACCACCAACAGATCAGCAGAACAAGTCATCCTCTGCCTCAGAACAGGGCACAACAGATTACGCAACCACATGTAAACAAAATGTAAGATATGTGTATCAGCAATGTGCACATGTGTATCAGCCATGTGCACATGTGGAATGTTGTGCCAGACAGCAGAAAATATACATCTGGACTGCACAGAAAATGACACATTCACTTTCGCCCTGAGAAGCTGAAATATCCAACACTTCCAGTTGGATTTAGTTTTCCTTAAATGTTACTTTTCTTACTTGCCTGTTTACCAGATGTATAATTGATGCATTATATATATATATATATATATATATATATATATATATATATATATATATATATATATATATATATATATATATATATATATATATATATATATATATATATATATATATATATATATATATATATATATAACCAACTATAGCATTTAAAGGGTTTTTCCTTTGTGCTAAATGGTTTTTTAAGAGCCAAGATGAGGTCAGATTTTTTCATAGGTTTGGGTGATAAAGGTCATGGGTTCAAAGCATGAATGGCCCCATACATGTATGTTTTTCAGGCCCTTGGGTTGCACTCAATTTAAGGCCTCACCACCACTTTGTGTCTGTTTATTACTCCTTTCATATATCTTTATATACTTCAAAAACATAATTATGAAATGACTAATACATTTTTCACCAATTTATTAGTGACTCAAAAACTGCAGGGGGTTTTTTTCCCCAAAAATCCTAACAGGGGTCATTACTTTTATTTTAGAGTGCTCAGGAGTTTTTTGGCCAAAAACAACAGTGGAAAGTAAACTCTCCAAGAGTGAATGAAGTAAAATTGACAGTGAAATTTACACGAGAGACACAATAGCTGATACATACAACTTATTTCAGGCGAACACTAACAGCACAGGAAGAAACAGGGTTATGAATACCAGCATTGGAGAGAAAGTTGAAATAAGACCATGTCTAGATTATACTGACAAAGAATGAAATGGTTCAGCCATCTAGTGAAAATGCAACCAGACCAAACTGCACATGAGACTTTTTCTCAGCAGGAAGGCGAGAGGAAGACCAAAAAAGATGTGGATAAATGGTGTCGCCGAAACCTGCAAAAAATATCATCACCCAAGCTACCAGAGAAGCACAAGGCAAATATAGAAAGCCACGCCACTGGGCTACAACCTGGTATCAGTGAGACGACAAAAGAAGAAGAAGAAGACTGAAAGAAGTATAAAGTACAACAAAAACTGACTAACAGGCTCACTGAAGAAAATAAAAAACACATCTCAGCTTTTCTTTTAAACATGTGGTTGTATTTGTACCAACCCTATGCTCGAAATTTCAAATCAGTTTATATCCGGTACAGCTAAACATGATAAACCCCTTCACAATTCTTCTAATACCCACCCAAAAAAAAAAAGCTTTAAAAAAACTATGTAGAAAAATGACAACTGAAACCTAAAGACAACTTCAACTCTAATAACAGACATGCTGAGATAATCCAAAACAGATACCGGACGCTGCCAATGACAACTAAATGGATGAATGCTGTTAGCTGTAATATAATACCAGCTGGGGAAAACTGGCTTGGATGTCAGCAGTCAAATCACCTGTTATACAGTAATGATTTATGTGAATCTAAATTCAAACAGCAGCTGCAGTGGTGCAGTAACTAGACACTTGCTTGTTGGCTATAAGGTGTCGGGTGTGGATCTGCAGCGCAAGTGTTTTATGACTTTAGGCTCCCAGCAGCTTTCTGTCATGTCATGGAGATGTTTCAGAACAGGAACTGATATATACTGAGACAGCAGGTTGAGGACAGTCATGATCAGCCATGCCAGTCTGCAAGGCATTTGATGGTGATGATGATGATGGCATCCAGTCTAAAATGGTTATCAGGAAGTCAATTAGGCCCTCACAACTTTACAGCTGTTAGATGAAAAATTTCCTACAGCTGGCAAATGTGAAATTCCCTACAGCTGGCAAATGTGAATTCCCCTACAGCTGGCAAATGTGAAATCCCCTACAGCTGGCAAATGTGAAATTCACGACAACTGGCAAATTGAAAATCCTGTAAAGCTGGCAAACGTAAAACCCCCTACAGCTGGCCAATGTGAAATCCCCTACAGCTGGCAAATGTGAAATCTCCTACAGCTGGTTAACGTGAAATTCCTATGGCTGGTAGATGTAAAATCCTCTACAGCTGACAAATGTGAAAATCCCTGCAGTTGGTGACTGTAAAATCCCCCACAGCTTTAAAATGTAAAACCCCTCCAGCTGGTAAATGTAAAATCCCTACAGCTGGTTAATGTGAAATCCCTACAGCCAGAAAATGTAAATGCCTACCATCCACATCTTTCAAGGTTTAAAGTTCAGAGATTCAAATCCCTGCACCAGATAACCTAGGCTCTTGGCAGAATAGCAAGCTCTCTGATGAGAGAACAGCACAAAGAACAAACTCTGTAGCTCCTGTGACAATTCCTAAATATCCCTGAAAAATTCCTACAGCTGGCAAATGTGAAATCCCCTACAGCTGGCAAATGTGAATTCCCCTACAGCTGGCAAATGTGAAATCCCCTACAGCTGGCAAATGTGAAATTCACGACAACTGGCAAATTGAAAATCCTGTAAAGCTGGCAAATGTAAAACCCCCTACAGCTGGCAAATGTGAAATCCCCTACAGCTGGCAAATGTGAAATCTCCTACAGCTGGTTAACGTGAAATTCCTATGGCTGGTAGATGTAAAATCCTCTACAGCTGACAAATGTGAAAATCCCTGCAGTTGGTGACTGTAAAATCCCCCACAGCTTTAAAATGTAAAACCCCTCCAGCTGGTAAATGTAAAAATCTTACAGCTGGTAAATGTAAAATCCCTACAGCTGGTTAATGTTAAATCCCTACAGCCAGAAAATGTAAATGCCTACTATCCACATCTTTCAAGGTTTAAAGTTCAGAGATTAAAATCCCTGCACCAGATAACCTAGGCTCTTGGCAGAATAGCAAGCTCTCGATGAGAGAACAGCACAAAGAACAAACTCTGTAGCTCCTGTGACAATTCCTAAATATCCCTGCTTCAGGTGTCAAGGCAAATATAAGGTTCTGACTCTTGCTCCTCTGGTGGCCTCAACCACAAAAGGGTTTCTCTGATGTTCTCTTTCCATATCATTCTTGGTCTACATCGTGATCTATGCCTTGAGGATACAGTCTGACATATAAATCTTTAACCCTTTAGTACCACTGGAATCGCAAATCTGTGCTTACTGCTGAAGATAAGGGATGAAGCGCTTATGGGAATGTCCCAAATGCTGTCATGTCAGGTCTTTACTCAACTCAACCCTACACTTTCACATTCCTACAAGTCGTTTATGTAAAACACTAGACTTTCGGTTGTATATGTGAAACTATATCCCTCTGCTACATGTTCTATATGTGAAACTATATCCCTCTGCTACATGTTGTA